TCCCGCGGAAAAGCGCATGGCCGTCATCAAGCGCGCTATTGCCGCGTGGGACGACATTAGCGAGGATGCCATAAAGTCTGCCTTTGCGAAGGCTATCCCCAAGCATGTTGTCTAGGCCAACATAGACACAATGCTAAAATTTCTCTTCTCTCTTCTCTCTGCTTCCTGGACAACAGCACATAAAAAAGTTAGCAGCAGTGGCGCTTCAAAAGTGTGACAATAACGGGCTTCGAACCGGGGCCATGGCATCCTTGGCGCTCACCCCATCATCTTATCGGGTGCGCCAGATGACCGGTTTATGCTCCTTCAGAGGTATTACATATAAAGAGTTAAATCGTACAGAAAATCTGATGACTTTTTCCGGAAATATTTTGTAAAGGGGTGCGCCTTTATTTTGACCAACACTGTAGATTGATTGATAGATAGATTGATTGATTGATAGATAGATTGATTGATAGATAGCTGCCGGACGTTCATTCGAATAACCAACGCAGATTAGCCCACGCTCTATCCCGAATGACGTTTGCACCGGACATACACGCGCCGCAGATCTGTGAGGTCCTCATACAGTAGGCTGTAATGACGGTACAGTGACGACGCCGTCAACCTATTGCAGCCATGAGGATGTATACCTCCAAAAGAATCTTGCAAAGAATGTGGCTTAGGTTATGATACTTAAATACTAGTACTCGGCGTGCATCACGACTCGACTTTAAACGTTCGGTCGCGGTGCTCGCGCATGTGTGCTGTGCACATGCCCATGGTCTTCCCAAGGCGCTTGCACTCGGGAATCCGGCATGTCTTGCTGCGCCGGTGGACGTCACAGAGGCCACCGCCGCGGTCGGTGCGTGGGCAGTCGAGAACCGAGCAGGTTCGACAGCCGCCGTGCTTGGCGCACTTGTTGCCTCGCTGGGCGCCTTTGGTGCACCCGTCTTCGTCACAACGCTTGCCACCGCCGTGGGTGCGGCAGAGACCGCCGCCTTGGCTGCTGCGGTCGCAGCCAAGGTGCTTGCAGCGCGAGCCGCCACCGTGGGCTTTGCAAAGGCCCTGGGACTGCGCCGCGTTCGAGCAGCCAATGGCTTGACAGCTCTTGCCGCCACCGTGGCCGATGCAGAACTGGCCGTTCTGTGCCTCCTTGTCGCACGACAGCACACTGCAGAGCCGCCCGCCGCCATGGCGCTTGCAGTAGCCCTTGGACCGGACGTGGCTGGCGCAGCCCGGGTGCCGGCAGATCCGCCGGCGGGCGACTGGCCCATCATCACCCTCAACGTCCGTTGCGTGGCTTGAGGCATTGCTGGATCTAAACTCGAATGACTCCACGGGGTGCGTAGGCGACGACGGTCGTAGCAGCGTCGCGAGGTAGTCGACCACGAGTGGGTATGGGATCTCGGTGCACGGCGCTGCCGTGAACGGGATCGGCTCGAGGCGAAGGTCAGCCATTTCGACGGCGAGCAGATTCGGGATTGAAGGCTATGCGGTATTGGGCTGTCATGTCGAAACAACATCTGCCTTGTGCAACGTTGGTCTGGGTGGGTGCCTCTGCCAGCTGCCTCTGCCCACATCGAAGACGTGCCGTAAAGTCGCCGATCTGTGGTCAGTACGCCGACAGACTGTACCGGTAGTCTATTACTTAGTACCGGTGTATCTTGGGGTGTCAGGCAAGATGACGGTTATATTACATAATGCATGCGTTCTCCGTACCCTTATTGTCTCCGCGCAATGGATGCACGGTGCTGCATACCTCGCTGGTAACAGCTCGTATCACTTTGGCCCCGCCCTACCTTCTGGTATCCTAATACTTGTTGTCTTCAGTCCGCTGCTTCTAAATCATTCCATCGTGTCCGGGTTGCAATCACATATTCTCCAAAACGAACTCAAAGCTTTCGCATACGTAGCGCTGGGAGTTGACACCAGCACTTGGTCTGCTGCTTCAAGCTACCACGTCTCTACTTGTGCCGGGATGCCTGTCGTCGGGATGACCCACGTCCATTGCAACGGCTCGACACGAGATGGTCGCGAGATATCAGGTCCTGCATCGCCAACGAAAACAAATCAACTGCACTCGAATGGGTGGTCGTTCCGAAGTGGCACGGGTGCCTGGAACGTAAAAATACAAGGTCGTCAAGGAATCCATCCTAGTACAACAACATCAAATGTGACGCCGGGCGTCGAGACATGCCTATGTGATCGACACCGTTCACTCGAATCTGATCGGGACGCCATGCGTTTGCATTGCAACTAGACCAGATGTCCGTCGCACATACACGGGTGATGCAGCACGAGATACGAGCCGCAAGAAGAGAACGAGTATCCACCGCTTAATCGCGACAATAATGGTTGTTCATTGGTTGTCGTACGCAAGATTACATTAAATATAGGTTTACACAGGATACGGTTTACATGAGAAGCGCTTGGAGCCCGCTATGGCGCTGCTCACGCACGTGCGGCGTGCACATGCCAAGCGTCTTGCCGAGCCGCTTGCAGCCTTCGATAACGCACGTCTTGTCCTTGCGGTGGATCTCGCAGAGGCCGCCACCGCGGTCCGTGCGTGTGCAGCCCGGCAGTGTGCACGACCGGCAGCCGCCATGCTTGGCACATTTCGTGCCCCGCTGAGCGCCCTTGGTGCAGCCAGGCACGTCACAGCGCTTGCCGCCGCCGTGGGAGCGACAGAACCCGCCGCCTTGGCTACTGCGTTCGCAGCCAAGGTGCTTGCAGCGGGAGCCGCCGCCGTGGGCTTTGCAGAGACCTTGGGACTGCGCCGCGTTGGAGCAGCCGCTGACCTTGCAGCACTTGCCGCCGCCGTGGCCGATGCAAAATTGGCCGTTCTGCGCTTCTTTGGCACACGTCGGCACGGCGCAGACACGGGCGCCGCCATGGCGCTTGCACAAGCCGCGGGCGCGGACCGGGCTAGAGCAGCCAAATACCGCGCAGTGCTTCCGGTCGTGGTCGGTGGACTCGTCCAAGTCGGTCGAGAGGGTCGAGAGGGTCGAGGCGACGCTGAAGCGACCATCTTCCTCGTCGGTCGTCATCGAGTCGTCCGTGTCCTCCAAGTGGCAGTCAGCGAGTGCCCAGAGGTCATAGGCACTCAAAAGCGGCATCATGTTCAAGCTCGGGTTGAACGGAATCGGTTCGAGAAGGCGCGGCTCATAGACGCTGCTCATGTTGTAGTACGACATAAAGGGATCGTTGGAAGGAAAAGCAAAAATGACTGCTGCGATTTGCAACTCCCATCGCCCACCAGATGCTTTTAATGGATTCAAAATCCCACGCGGGCCCAGACGAAGCTTCGATCTGGTGAGGCATGCCAACTGGTATGGAATGGAGATACTTTTGATGGGGTGTGTGGTACAGGTGTAGTAGCCATGCGATCAACATTCTATCTGCTATTGGTACCCCCAAAATGAGGTACACAAACAACGTACCCCATGATCGGCAAGGTCAATAGTAGGACGGGATAGAAATAAGGACGACGACGGTGCCGACGATCGGGAGCTCGATGGGCTGCCAGCCTTCTCATTCAGCGCATAGACCCAGTGCATCGAAATAGCACCCAGTATCTGGGGCAATCCAATGCTGACAAGAAAGTGGACGAGGAGTCTCTACAGGTTGACCCATGTGGCAAAACCATGAGCCTTGAAACGAAGCAAATTACCACCGCAGTCCAGTGACCGAGCCTGCCACGTCTGCTGCCACGTGGTCTTTTGACAGAAATGACGTTTTGGATCCCAGCGGTGGAATTGGTCCGGACACCAAGGGGCGTCCTCATTATGATGGCGTGTAGAGCACGACGTAAACACCCGATGCCAGTGACCCGTTACCATTCTCTGTGTTGTTGTCGTTGAATTGAATAACATGCCATCGGCCGCGTGCATTGATGTAAAATCAACATAAATGAACTAGAGATTGACCGCAGGGAATCCGAATAAATCATGACTAGCTGGGACGATAGGTTGACAAGGCTGATGGAGGCGACTGCTGCATGCACGTGCTCTTCCTATAAAGCAGACGCTGGCTTCGATTGCTTCATGTAGTAATGCTTCTGCATTCGCCAAGAACATGCATGATTTCGATGTTGCGGCGGACTCGAGTATACATCAGTACTAGTACTAGTACAGCTATCAGTACCTAGAAGGAGATGGAGCGACGAGACGTGAGTCCTGTGTCATCGCCTTCTCCACGCCCACTCGTGCAAGAAAGACTGTCGACGCAAGATGCGCGAACCACTCAACAGTACGAACCAAGCCCGTCACATCGTGGTTACAGCCTTCGCACAGGCTGAAGTACAGAAATTGAATCAACCTTCGCCCGCTCCGACGACTGAACCGAACGTATTACATTATTGTAGTGGTGTGCCAGATTTCGTCAAAAGTGACGTGGCAGAGCCTCTGTCGAGGATTTGAAATTGCCCTTCCACAAAAAGACCACGCACAGTCAACTCCTCCTTCTCGATGAGTTTCAGATCACGATACCAGGAATGACAGTTGGCGGGCTTAGATGAGCGTCACAATAATGTGTCGAGTGCATTGCAGAGCCCCTTCGTCCTCCAACTGCGACGTGGAGCGACCGGATACGCTGAGAAGATGGTAATGCGCGGTTATCAGGTTGGCGGCTTTGTAGCATTTCTCCGAACCGAGTCGCTCCTTGCGCCAAGCAGAGTACAAACAAGCGCTCTGTGTTCTCCACTTACGAGAACACACTAAAAGTCTGATCGGATTCGGTTCGACTGTTTTTCGGTGCTTTGATGCTCGATACGTTCGTGCTCGATGCGCGATGCGCTTCAAACACCGTGTGGTAGTCGTGGTCAATATTGTGGTGCTGGTTGGGTGGGGTCGGTCGGGAGCCAGCAACCGGTCATCTGGGACCAGGGGTACATATTATGTACCCCTGTCTGGGACCGGGCGCGACTTGTTCTTCAGACGTATCGTAGAAAACCCAAAGGCCTCTTCGCGACCTTTCCCATTTCGACTTACTTTAGGGAATGGCAGTCACCATGTTAGCCTCATCGGGTGGCCGAGAGGTGGCGCCCCCCAGATCGTTTCGCGCCAATGCATGGATCTATCTTGTGTCTGTGCTGGTCTACCCTGTGCTATCTAATAACCTATAAGGGTATAGAGGTTTTAACAAGCCCGTTGACGTCCTCTCAGGTGCGAGTACAAAGTGCCACATACTAGGATATTCGGCACGAAACTTTGCAGACATGGAGATACTTGTTGACAGCTTCATTTCCGGGCTACTGTCACGCACAATACCGTGCCACTAACGCTCCTCGAAAAACGCAACGGCATTGCCTCGACAGCACAATAAGAAATCCTCTTTTCATGTACTCTAGTGAAGGAAATTCTCTATCTAAAAGAATAGCAGGTTCAAAACTCATTTCATCAACTTCATTTGTAGTACAGGTACTCGATTACAGACGGTGGGCGAGCTCGCTTGGTCGCTGGCTTCGATACGCACGCAGATGCGGTGTGCACATCCCAAGGCTCTTTCCTAGCCGCTGGCATCCTGCGACGACGCACGTCTGCTCCTTGCGGTGGATCTCGCAGTACCCACCCCCACGGTCTGTCCTCGTGCAATCACCGACCGTGCACGTGCGGTACCCGCCGTGCTTTGAGCACTTGTGACCGCGCTGGGCGCCCTTCATGCAGCCGACTTCATTGCAGCGCTTGCCACCGCCATGGGCTCGGCAGAGTCCGCCGCCTTGCGAACTCTTGTCGCATGCCGGCACCTTGCAACGGGCGCCGCCACCATGGGCCTTGCAGAGGCCTTGGGACTGCGCCGCGTTGACGCAGCCGTCAATTTTGCACTTCTTGCCGCCACCATGGCCGACACAGAGAAGACCATTGTGGGCTTCTTTGGTACAGTCGGGAAAGGTACACTTCTTGCCACCACCGTGGCGCTTGCAGACGCCCCGCGACCGAACGACGCGGTGGCAGCCATGGATCTTGCAGTTGCGTTTTGGTACCGGGCTGTCTTCGGCGTCCGTCGCACCGCCTTGGCTGCTCGAGATGCTCACGGCGCGGTGCAGGGCGACCCGCTGCGTCTCGCTCTCAGGCTCGAGAAAGAGCTCGTGTAGCATGCGCACATCCTCGAATGCGATGCCGCGCGCGACGGATTCGAACGGAATGGGATCCATGTGCATGGCACCGGTCGAAATGAAATATGTACTCTCGACGTCATCGCGTCTGGTTCCGGCGACCGGCTTTGGGAGACAGTGGCTAGTGCCGAAGTGCAGACCATGTGGCCGCCCATCATCACTTGGATGGGCCCGTCGTCGTCGTTGTACTTGCATTTTAGTACAGGCTTCGTCGACTCGGCTACTACATAATATTCGGTGTCAGCTGCGAACGGTCGCCCCCAAGAAGGCTCGTCGATACAAGCGCCAAGTTATGCGCTAAAACAAATGTAAACAAGTGATAGTTGAGTGTATGGGATCCAGTCCAGATCCATACAATGGCTCCCTGGCTCCCTCAAGAAATGCGCCCGGATCGACACCATTTTACGCTCAAGCACCAAAACGCACTGACGTACCTGTGCCGCGACTGTCCACACGGGGGTGGAAGAGTGGATTCACGCTTGCTCGTTCTAATAGTTGAAGCATTGAAGAGGACGTATTTCGACGAGAGAAGGATTCAGCGAACAGTGTGTACCCACACTTGAGTCACATGACCCGTGCATCACCAAAGGATAGGTGCGAGGACGCAAGTAAGTACTGGTATCGCGTGCGACAAAAGACTGGTCGGTCTGGAGTCGCTCGCGGCGCCTCGACCGAATCCTGTTGGAAGCAACCACAAAAGAATACGCGGCGTTAATGACGCGAGCCGCGTCGATACGCGATGACACGCAAACTCGCCGAAACTTGCCTCTCTATTGGCACTGCCGGCAGCGCTCTGACTCGAATAGTCGTTTGCAAAGCCAGTGCTCCGACGCATCATCATGGCTCGTGCCCCCACACGGACGACGACGACGTCACCGGTGGATGGATACTCATCATATGCAGACTCTTTTCGCTTCAATGACGGACGCCACACGCTGCGCCACACGAGTGCCCTCGCGAGCTCTGCTGGAACTGTGGCCTGGGACGCAGTGTTGTGTTTCCATTCAAGCCGACATATCGCATGGGCGTCGTTCTTTTCGACCCTTCAAGCGTCAATCGTTCAGGCTCCAATCGTCGACAACAAGCTGGCGGCGGCAACACTCTCAACTACACGAAGCGCACACGACACGGGTGACGACTGAGACAATAGTTTAAGGGTTAGTATCCACATCGTATGAGGGACCCATACTGCATTCATTTCCAGTGCCCAGTGCGTCGGCAATGTGGCGGAGGCCTTTTTATGGTCCATCGAAGGCCGTGCCTCGTGGTGAGCAACGACAGAGACACGGAAGCCGTCGAGAGCCTCCACTTGTTCGAGTTTTGCGCCGCGAGGAAGCCAGCGCTGTTGTAATTGACGACGATTCGAAATCGATTGTATAACGCCCGCAATGTGCAACCCTTTGTAAGATGGGCGATCATTGTGCTTGGCGCTGACGGGACGCTTACTTTTCTGGAAAGCCGTCAGTTGGTGTCACGTCTTTGTTGTTGTGCGTGTGGATTTCTACAGATTTCTACCGGAAGCCAGAACAGGTATGTGTTAACGCCACAAGTACTGTGCGTGGGACGAATGACATACAGGGTGGGATCGTTGGTCCGTCGTTCGACAGCTTTAAAGCGATTACTCTAGGTGTCCGCGCCGTGTGGTAGCACAGGAAGGGTACCAAGGGACACGTCGTATCCAAGTTCGACGGCTATTACACCCATCTCTATACATGCTCGCGGTTCACGTACGTCGGCGTAACGCGCTTCGGATCAACCCACCCGCGCAATACCCACTACCGCGTCGACAAGGTGGATGTAATATCACACACTGCTATGTATTAACTTCGATTGCGTCCTCCGTCAATGTTGCTTGTGGACGAAACGCTGTGGAAGCATGCGCTCCAAATCCCCCTCAAGGGCACCAACAGGCAAAGGCGGTCCATACGACACCGCGCTCGTCATCGCGAGGGCCACTGTCGTCTCATCCCGCTCCAGCGGTACCGGTACCTCTCTGCCACCATGAGGCATGTGCAAGACATGCTGCTGGTTCGCGCTGGAAGTCGTGAGACCGGCTCTTGACGGGGTCTCTATGCACCGTCAAATGGCAACATTTGGTCTCCATTCGGTTTCAAGCTGGCGCACAGAGACACTACCACGTGGCTACGGTCGCGAGTATAAAAACGCTCACTTGACAATTCGGGCGATGCAGCCCACGATCGAACCCATCCCATTTGAAGCGGTTTATCATGCACCGTTGGTGATGCTGCACGAGGACGCGTTCCTTCTCGACCTCTTGGCGCTGGACGCACACTCGTGCGACATCAAGCTCGAGCATGTATCCGACTTTGCGACCGACTATACCACCGCCACTACCGTGGTCTCCCCGCACGCCATGTATGTCGACGCATTAGAGCTGGCGGTTGTCGACGGTGTCAAGAAATCGTGCTCGGTCACCGACTGCCACCGCGTCGTTCGGTCCCGCGGCGTCTGCAAGCGCCACGGCGGTGGCAAGCGCTGTGCCTTTGCCGGCTGCGGCAAGGAGGCCCAACACGGTGACTACTGCGTTGGGCACGGCGGCGGCAAGGCGTGTCGTGCCGACAACTGCGTCAACGCGGCGCAGTCTCACGGTCTCTGCAAGGCCCATGGCGGCGGCGCCCGCTGCAAAGTCATTGGCTGCGATAAGAGTAGCCAAGGCGGTGGTCTCTGCCGGGCCCATGGCGGTGGCAAGCGTTGCAACGAAGTCGGCTGCACAAAAGGCGCGCAGCGCGCCAACAAGTGCGCACGCCACGGTGGCTGTCGGACGTGCACGGTCGGCGATTGCAACCGGACCGACCGCGGCGGTGGCCTCTGCGAGATCCACCGCAAAGAGCGCATGTGCAAAGCCGTCGGCTGCAAGCGCCTCGGCAAAAGCCTGGGCATGTGTACGCACCACATCCGCGAGCTCCGCGCCACGTCTGCGAACTCGTCGAAGCAATTTTAGACACCGTACCATATATTTAGCCATCTTTTCAAACTGAGCATTCTTTCTTTTGACCGCCCAACATTTTATTGAACTACAGCGCGCCGTGTGAATAGACGACCCGCGCATAGGATGGCGGCGCGTCGGCGAGCTAGGGCACGTATATGCACGCGTAAAGGGGGGCTCGATCGCGCGGTGCGACCGTACGCGTGTTCCCTACTACCTGGTGATGACCTTGGCGCGAAACGTGCAACGGACGCAGGTGCACAAGGCGAGAACACAAACACGACCATGGGGCGATACAACCCGTTGCGAGATCGCCGACGGTCGGGATTAACGAAGGCGAAGGGATATGTCAAGTACGTTCGAAGCATCTCAATGTACCGTCGACTACAAGGCATTGAACCATATTTCTTGCACGTATCGTCTAGTAATCATCGGTGTACAGGCGGGTCACGGACCGTTCCCGCGGCGCGGAACCAAATGAGGAATGCAACCGCGAAAGCAGGTAGACTCTTTGAAGGGTCCTCGCGGACTATCGGTCATGGGGTATTTTAGTTGATCGAGCAATTGAGGACCCTGGGGCTGGCGCCGCACCGCTATGAGCACCAGATACGCCTTGCAACCGAATCCGTACCTCGTCCACGCTGAACGCTGAAGACGGCAGAATCCAAGACTATTGCTACGTTTTCCCCGGGACAGGACCAGATCAACTTCAGGAGCATCGCGCCAAAACATGCAACAGGTACGAACGAGTACTATGCATTTTGTATTTCTCTGAAATAAAAAGTTGGATGGAAAAGGCGACATTGAAATCAAGCAAAGCGTCAACCTCGAGCGATCGACACAACGATGAAATGCCAGCGACCCGAACGCTGGAAAAAGCGGCGTCTCTATTTCTCCCGGACGACGCTGTTAACCTCTGCATATCATAGCGGATTCTCCATCCGGAAGGAGATTAAAGGTGCGATCGAATAAGACAGCCTGCTGGACAACGTCGAACGCTGGCTTGACGATGGTCCTGTAAACGCCACTGAGTTTCGCGTTGCACCGTGACTGAGCGGCCGCACCATGGATACGCTACCAAACACCCTGCATCGCGACCTCCAGCCACTTGTGACCATAAAAGTCTCCGCAGGTCTTCTCAAGACTGTAATTTTCAAACGAGTACAAACATGTATTGGCGAAGTGCAGGCCTCGCTTCGAAACTCATCGAACGATCGCCGCATATCGCCAGGCTGGTGTTGGATCCTGAAGATCGCGCGGCAAATCTTTATCCGGATCCGGTTAGATTTGCAAACGGCATTCGAGACGCTGTCAAAGGGGCGACTCACAGAGGCTACTGCACTTGAGATTGCTGGTTTCGAAGAGCCTCTTTAGATGGCCGATTGGAGTCTGAGGTAGAAAGCACTCTCCTCACGATGGCTCTTTTAACGCTCTGAATAGATCGCCAACGTCAAGTGCACCTTTGTATGCCCCTTTTCTTGGTTTCTTTGCATGGCGCGCACTCGCTGTGCTTCCTACTATCTTGGAGAGCGCTTGACATATAATCTCAAGCAATAATGAGCTGCAGACATGGCCGAGTGATCTTGCACGTCTGCGACAACGCCGTTCGATGCTGCGTATTGGGTGCCGTGAATTATTTGGCGCCCAAATCGTCGAGCTGCCACGTCAACCTGGCTTTGCGCAAGGTTCTCTTCAGACTGGTGACTCCTTCACCGATATACAGTGTACACTGTAGGTTGTATGCATAAGCGTCTGTCGTAGACGGCTGTTGCTCGCTAACGGTCTTCCGGTGCCACAACGCTGCATCCATGGTACATTTCTCCTGCTCACCGTCGACCCACGCCGAGTCATAGACGCTCGGCGCTGTACATCGCGGAGAGCACTCCACGCAATCAAGGAGCATCCGAAAACCGTCTCGTTGGCGCGAGCTACATGAACATGCACCAGGAGCTTCCGCAGCTTTTAAACATGGACACGCTGTGTTCTTGCAATACAAGCAAGGACACGAAGCGAGGAGTGTGTGCCATTTTGAGGAGGAGGAGGAGGAGGCTCCTGCGCGTGTCGGCTTTGAAGACATCCGACGTCGTCGATGACGCAGGCCGAACCTTCTTGACGCGCGCCGCGTCGGCGTTTTGAGAAATTCCGCATCTTTTTGCCTTGTGGACGTGGTGAGAAACGTCCGCGTCTTATGGAAATGTGCTTGTCCGTTATGGTACAGATATGTGTCGCTTGACGGCAGTTGGTTTTCAAGCGTTTTTCTTTCTACCTTTTTTGTCGTTGGCTAAACGAACCCACACCGCGGTGAGCCAGCGCGGCGAGTTACGGCGTCCCACGTGGTTGGCGCCACCTGCCGTGACGCAGCGCACGTCGTTTGCGCGGTCTGCATGATGATGTTTCCCTCACACTTGGATTTTCCACGATCTGCACCTATTCAGCACGCCTCATGTTGCCACCGATCCCCGACTGCTACCACGAGTACGAGCCGATTCCTTTCGAGTCAGGTCGGCCACCCGTCGTGCTTTTGGGCGACGTCGCGTTCTTGAACGACCTCTTTGATCATCAGTGCTCGACGTTCGAGGCAATGACGATCGAGCCCATCATGATTTGCGTCTCGGCCACCGCCGACCTGCCGCCCGTTCGACCCGCGCGGTCGCTCAGCACCTGCAGCAGCGTGAGCTTTGGCACGGACTCGGAAGACGGCGACGCGCTCGCCAAGAAGGTGTGCTCCGTGCCCGAGTGCCACCGCGCGGTGCGGTCACGCGGCGTCTGCAAGCGCCATGGCGGCGGCAAAAAGTGCATTGTCGCCAACTGCGGCAAGGAAGCCCAGAACGGCAGCTACTGCGTCGGCCACGGCGGCGGCAAGTCGTGCAAAATCGACGGCTGCGTGAATGCGTCGCAGTCCCAAGGCCTCTGCAAGGCCCATGGCGGCGGTGCGCGTTGCAAGTACGCAGGCTGTGACAAGAGCTCGCAAGGCGGCGGACTCTGCCGGGCCCATGGCGGTGGCAAGCGCTGCAACGAAGACGGCTGCATGAAGGGCGCCCAGCGCGGCAACAAGTGCGCACGCCATGGCGGCTGCCGGACGTGCACGATCGGCGACTGCAACCGGACCGACCGCGGCGGCGGCCTCTGCGAGATCCACCGCCAGGAAAAATGTGCAAAGTCGCCGGCTGCAAGCGCCTCGGCAAGAGCCTTGGCTTGTGTACGCCCCATATTCGCGACTTTCGAGCCCAAGACGCACACTAAGTCCAGCGCCCGCTTGGTGTAAATCGTCATTAGAGTATTGTACAATAAAATTATAGAGTGAACCACTAGACAACTTTAAAAATCAATGTGTGGCGAGCGTTTCGAACGTGTTTCACACTTTGCACTTGGCGTTGTTGTGTGGGTCGTCAGACCACTTGCCCGAGAAACATGGAGCGGTCGACAATATAGCCTCTCGCTTGGCGTTCGTTTGACGCAGCCACATCGATGGACAGAGCCCTAGCCGCCGACACCCACGCTTCCACGCTGATTCGATAAAGACACCAGCTAGGCGTATCCTGATATCTGGATGGCGCGTCGGCTCTGCATCATGACGACAGGCTGCAAGAAAAGTACACGCATTCGACGCACGTCTTCTGATGCGCAGACAGGGTTAAACCTTCTGATTGGTGGGTTCACCTAGCATCCAAGGCAGCAAGGCGGGGGACCCGAGCAACGACGCGTGGCTGTTAAGCGGCAACGGTCGCAGGCTGCACTGTGTTTGAATGCATCGACCGTAGCCGCATATCACAAATACAAACAAGCATGTTGGTCGACATTCCGCCAGAGAAATGGCGGTGCATGTACCTAGCGTTGAAACCTACTGCACTTGTACATCGCTTGACGAATCGATATGCATGCGTAGTGTACACTGCCTTCTTTGCACGGGGTAGTAGCCAGAAGTACCCACGCATCAAGTCGAGTCCACGCCGCGACACATTTGTGTCACATCCATAGAATTCACTGTCCATGATGGATTAGTCATGTAGACGCGCGTCCACGGTAAGAAAAGAAGCAGTACACGAGCCGCAGCCATGTCGTCCATCATCAACTTGTCCACCTCGTGAGTCTTTCCGCTGTGCGTCGCGAAAAGAAGTGTGCGACGCTCCGATAAGGCGAGCGCACACGCGTTCGTCGTCGCCTGTCCGTTCCCGTTGATATGGTTCACGCGGGTTCGAACCGGCGAGCCAAGCCGACAGCTCTTATGACCTATATTGCCTCTCGGCGCCGCTGCCCGAGGCCTTGCTCTGACATACTAGTACACCAATGACTCAGCTTGTGACTCATCCCTTTCACCAAGTAGCCTTCTTATAGTTTACTGACCAGTCTTGCGGTTTGCGGTTGAGAGAGGGGTGCGGCGAAGAAATATCCAAACGATGTGGCGCGTTCGGCGCTATGCACCGATTACAAGACGAAACTCGACAGCGAAACCACGTATTGCGCAAATGCCAGAGAAGTGGGGACTGGAAATGCAACCGTGCACTGGATGACGTTGGATAAAACCATAGCCGCTGCCACGCCGGTTGCAAGGTCAACTGTTCCTTTGCCGGGTACCATATGTTTTCCGATTAGTAGCGCCCTGGAACCACCTCGCATACGGACAACACCTGTCCCCTCGTCCGTCAACAAACAAGTTGCCGGAACACCAAGCTCATCAATCCGTTGTACTGCAGACACCTTTTGGCGCTGTGGTCCAAAATCAAAGCTAGTATGCTACGCGATCCTACGGATACTCGTGTTGGCATCTTGGTTGCAGAGCCGGGCACGCGGAGGAATCTTGCACGACGGATATGTAAAAAATGCATCTAGATTTCATAAATATACTTCTACAATCGCTACTCCGTTCACAGCGACGGCGTCGGAAACTTGTTGCGGAACTCACGGACGTGCGGCGTACACATGCCCATGGTCTTGCCGAGGCGCTTGCAACCACTGACGGTGCACATCTTGTCCTTGCGGTGGAATCTCGCAGAGACCGCCACCGCGGTCCGTGCGCACGCAGTCGTCGACCGTGCACGTCCGGCAGCCGCCGTGCTTCGCACACTTGTTGCCGCGCTGGGCGCCCTTGGTGCAGCCAGGCTCGAGGCAGCGCTTGCCGCCGCCGTGGAGCGGCAGAAACCGCCGCCCTGCGAGCTCTTCTCGCAGCCGTTGAACTTGCAGCGGCGCCGCCGCCATGGGCCTTGCAGAGGCCCTGGGACTGCGCGGCGTTGGAGCAGCCGTCGATCTTGCAGCACTTGCCGCCGCCGTGGCCGATGCAGTAGTTGCCGTTTTGGGCTTCCTTGACGCAGCCGTGCATGCAGCACTGCTTGCCGCCGCCGTGGCGCTTGCAAAAGCCCTTGGAGCGCACGTTGCGGTGGCAGCCAAAGACAGCGCAGAGCTTCCGCGGTGGGCAGTACTGGTCGTGGTCGGTGCACGCACTCGAGTCGCTCATCTCGGTCGTCGTGCGCGTGAGCGGGACGGGCAAGCACTGGTAGCTAATGGCTTGGAAGGGCGTGTAGGCCGCTTGCATGTAGTGGTGCGGGTACGACGGGTAGTAGGCTTGCGCGTCGTCGATGAAGCTCGTGTGCTGGATGAGCTCGTCGAGCTCGTATGTGTCGAACGACTCGGTCTTGAGAGCCGTCGCTGCGTATGGGATCGGGTCGAACATGTCGGCAAGCATTGTGGTAGTTGGTGCTGTGCAAAAGAGCAAATGACCCGAACTGCGTGGGAGCAGTAGCAGTTGCGTCGGCAACATCGTCGAGTGTGTTATATAACTTGGGGTTTGTTACGATCGGCGTGTTACACCTCGGGAGCGTGCGGCATGTCGCGCGGCCACTTGGCTCGGCTTAACCGGCCTCCTGACCATGCCGCGTGCCTCCTGACAACCTTGTGCAAGTTGCTCCTTTTGCTACATAATCTCAAGGCGTGGATTATTCCAGAGTCACTGCGGGTTTGTATGAAAATCGACCAGGAGCTCGACCAGGAGGGTGTGAACCGACAGCGTCTCTGTGGACGTGTGGTCGCGGACAATATCTAGATTGTTGGCGCCACATGGGCCACGCCAAGTGCAGACAACTTCGTTTCGAGAGCGTCTTTGCACAAACGCGCGCGGCGTTGAATCTCGGATGTACGCCATGTCATTTTCTGTAGCTACATCTAATACCAGTGGTCGTTCTGCCCTTCTTTTCTAGCCCAATATAGATTTATTAGAAGCGGTCGTCGGAACTGGCCGCCGGAGAGGCAATTTGGGCCGCCACCCGAAAGTGAGCGCTGGCGAAGACGCCATGCGATGCTTGCATTAGTGTTCACTCAGTCCCACGTATCCAGATCCCAACTGCTGGGTGCGTCGGTCGCTCAACATGCTACGATTGGTGGGCTGTCTCCTCATGGCAACATGTGTTGACGCGTATCGCAACGGCTGCTCGGCAAGCGCAGGGACGGCGCTGACAAGGGCAGCATCGAGGGTCAAGGGGTGTACCTTGGCCATGATCGATGGATGGTCGCCTGGGTGACCGAGTCAGAAGCAACCAAGGGACGAGTTGATTGCGTCGTGCAAGCGACCGCAGCAGCCAAACCCGCGCCTTGGACAGTGTCACAACCACCTCGTAATTTGATATGTTGTGTGTTGATGCACGATCGTCCTCGGAAGCACATAAGTCACGCTGCGTGCCGAGTACTGTGGCTTCACGAAGCAAAGAAACGACCTTCTTGTAGACAAGTCGCCCATGTCTACAATCACTTGACCTGGTTTACGCACTGCGGACAGCTTTGATGGCGAACCAGCACCAGGATACGAGACCATAGACCCGCAAAATGGGCCCAATGATAGCTGCTTGTACTAGAGGCGTTGTGGAATTTTGGTCCACCCGCCGTATATGCGAAGCAAGGGGCACTTCAAGAACGCTTCCTTGAAGCCACGGCGGGACATGTTTTGGCTTCGTATTTCTCTGGTGCGATCATCGGCGTCGTGCTGGCCAAGAGGATTGAAAGCTTGATGCGTAAAATTTAAGGCAGCACCTCGGATCCTTTGAAAAAGAGCCCACGATGAAGAATCGACCCGCTCCTAAAGCGCCGCGAACTACTGTAGTGCAGCCGTCGGCGCTCGTACATTGTACATTTACGCCTTGTGCACTGTACTGGTACTAGTACACGATAAGGCTGCGGCGCTTTGCAGAACAAGCGGAAGCTAAACTCAAAGTCTGCGATCTCATTGAAAATTGAGATTCAACGAAATTTCCTGCGCGAACATGTCTGATGGCTTACTGTGTTTTCTCTCAAATATGATGTGAAGGCACAATTTTTGTCTCGGTCTGGGAAGAATTAAATGAGTCCATGAAGCGGTCGGCGTCAACTGCCGTCTCTGCGCAGTCGGGCGTACTAGTATATTCTCTACATAGCGTCATGGTCTCGAAGTTGTGGTGGTCGCCCCATTCTGCTTTCTTGCATTGCTGCTCCCGGTCCGGCGAAACACACTCGGTGGTTCTCGCTTCGGTGAACGGCTTCTGCGCGAAATGGGGCTCGGCGGACTTGATACCATGGTCCAAAATGCACGGCTGCACGCTGACCACTCGAAACGGACAGCCTCTACACTGTACGATAATCAGCTGCAAAGATATATACACTTTTCAGTGCAACACTCGAGTACCATACAAATGGATTCAGAGCTAGTGTGCGGCCCCGAGGCGCCAGAGCCAACGTGGGCATGACCTGTGTAGAAACCACTTTTGTCCCGCAGGCCAACAGGCGGTTGGTGAAGCATTCTACTTCTTCTTGCACTGCAGGCAACATCCCACTCTACGGATAATTGCGAATCTCGCGGTGAGGCTTTGCCGAGCCAAAATTCATGGGCCAAACCAGTTGCTTGGATCACGCCATGTGGCTCTCCATCGGGCGCTATACAAGGTACAGCAGACTGCCCTCTCTCTGCCACAAACTGGTGGCAGTCAATGGGACAGCCATACGATTTCTTCCCTCCGTCGCCTTCGCCGGCGTCGTCGTTTCGAGCGCATGGGCTGCTGTTCATTTTAATTTTTCTCGACACACGCACAGTGTCCAATGTTCCCGATCCCGAGCTACTTGGATCCGATCCCGTTTGGCGGGTTCCACCCCACCCCGCTCTTCAACGAACACGAACTCATCTCGCTCTTCGACCACGACCCCTTTCCGAGCGCCTTCTCGATGGACCACCATCACTCGATGATGGTGCTCCCGTTGGACCACCCGCTCGCGCCGCTCCACCTCGCGCATTCGTCGTACGCAGAGCCGCTGCCGCTCTTCCGCTCCAGCAGCGCGTCCTCGAGCGACTTTAGCAACTGCACCGACCGCGACTCGTTCGACTTTGACATTGACCTCCCGCAGCCGGCAAGACGCAAGACGTGCGCGACCGAAGGCTGCCACCGCAACGTGCGCTCCAAGGGCTTCTGCAAGCGCCACGGCGGCGGCAAGCAGTGCTGCATGCACGGCTGCGTCAAGGAAGCCCAAAACGGCAACTACTGCATCGGCCACGGCGGCGGCAAGTGCTGCAAGATCGACGGCTGCTCCAACGCCGCGCAGTCCCAGGGCCTCTGCAAGGCCCATGGCGGCGGCGCCCGCTGCAAGTTCAACGGCTGCGAGAAGAGCTCGCAGGGCGGCGGTTTCTGCCGCTCCCACGGCGGCGGCAAGCGCTGCCTCGAGCCTGGCTGCACCAAGGGCGCCCAGCGCGGCAACAAGTGTGCGAAGCACGGCGGCTGCCGGGCGTGCACAGTCGACGACTGCGTGCGCACGGACCGCGGTGGCGGTCTCTGCGAGATCCACCGCAAGGACAAGATGTGCACCGTCAGTGGTTGCAAGCGCCTCGGCAAGACGCTCAACATGTGCACGCCGCACGTCCGTGAGTTCCGCAACCAGCCGCCGAGCCCTTCGCGCGAGACCAAATAAGGCGTCGCCTGGCTATTTATTGCGACCCCATTAGCATTGTACTGTAGTGTATTATAAACACAATCCATTGTAATCTACGACAACTATCCACTTATGTTGGCATTCTCGAGCACAAATAAAGCCCGCGCGGAAGGAATAGTCGATGCACGTAGTCATTGACATAAATTTGAACCAACAGCCCGAATTGAACGCACGATGCTCGCCCCGAACGACGAGAGGTGCCGAGCACCAGCACGGAGGCAGGGACGCTATGCGAGGACGACAAGCCATTTTATCGCTGCGATCCATGGCTCTCGGCGTCGCAGCTACATGGTGCAAGCACCCCAAGCGCCAACAGGCGACCACAAAATTTAGAGCCGGCTGGGGGACGACCCAGATGTAGTAGTAACATGTGCTTTGCGCAAAGGCTGGACACAAAATTGCGAATGGACGTCACATTATTATTTCAGAACGGATGCACTGGTTCTTGAAGCGAAAACGGCTGGTGAACGCATTCTTGATGTTGGTGCACAGGATAGATGGCAGATTCGGTATTGTCTCTTCTCGATGGTTGGCATATTCGATCTCTGGCATGCGTCGTGCTGCTGGCGATGTACGAGAGAGGCATCCACGGCATTTGACTGGAGGCGTCAAGCCTTCGAATGCAGTGCGATGGCGCATACACTCTTGGTTTGCATTTCGGAGTGTTCAGCGAGCAAAGGCGGACCGCTAGTGGCTGTCATGTGATCTTGTTGCACACGGTAGATATCAGTTTGGTGCTTGACAGTGAAGAACTGCTTGAGGTGGCTGGTGGCACCTCGCTTCGTTCGACTTGGATGCCCAAATCTTCTTGACACGGCTGCGCCGGTCGACGCGACAAATCTCACTTTGATTATTCAACGACTAACGTTCAGCAACTGTCTGTCGTCCTCACTACAGCGCAGAATGTGGATCGATGCTGCGGTATTAGTAGTCCATCCTTGTCGAATACAGTAGCAATCGAGTGTCCCTCGTCACTCTTTTGAGCTTCGTTTGACCTAGGCCTAAATATCCATTGTAAACTTTATGGCCTTGGTTTGACCTCTTGTCGAGTCGAACTTGCGTGCGCGGTTTGCTTTTGGCGACGTGCTCCCCTGCAGACCTTTGGGGTGGTCGGAGCTCCATCGACAGAAATGACGCGTCACGCTCCAAGCTCCATTCCGGTCGACGTAAAAGAATTTGTCAACGACAAGCAAAGCTGATTCCTTGGGCACCATGCACGGCTCGTGGACCCCACCTGCGTCGTGAGCTTCGTGTTCGGATGCGTCGCGGAGAAATTCCATGCAAGGGGCACGGCCGGCCAAAGAAAGCGCTTCGAAACCGTGACGTTCGATAGTACTGAGTCTGCTCCTGACGTCGACCAAAATGCATCTCCGTCTCAATGGGCTCCTGCAGAATACCTCGTTTCATCATCAACAACAACATCATCGCGTGTGCTCCGGCGCCGTGGGTTGTCCAGTGCATCTCGCCACCTCTTACTCGCTAACCGACACCGTCGTCGTTGTCACTTGCGTCTGTGCGCGCCTCGTTGTTGTTGTTGAAGTGGGTCGTCTATTACAATAGATAAAACTCGTTGTCCCTGACGACGCCCGCCGAAGCCCGCCGACATCGTGCCCCGCCAAGGACGCGCTTGCAGCTACCGACCCGCCACCTGGGCGTAGAGGAAGACTTCTACGAGGCGCCTGCTGCCGTAGCCGCCGCAGCCGAGCTCCGGCTACCCGACGCTATCTTACCCAAGTACGCCGACTTCGTCTACCAAGTGATGCTCCGCGCGGTCAAGTTCCGCGCACATTTGCACTGGCTCGACAGGGCCGACCAAGCGTGCCTCTTCTGCCCGCGCAC